TTTAGACTATAGCTCACATAGGCTTAAGTACGACCTGTTTTTGCCCCAGATTAATCACCTTGAAGAAAAGTATGATCCTGTCCAAGTCTTGACCAAAAAGAATAGCAAGAACGCCTTGCACCAAGCGCTTACTTCCCACTGTGAAAGCTGAAAACGTATTTCCAAGCATAGCCATCGAACCATGAAGACGGCGATGGGGATTTCAGAGTTGGCCGGACCCATGTTGAACTCGAAGTAGCGCTCCTGTGCGGAATCGGACCATTCCAAACCAAGCACTTCAACCTCGAAACCCTACAGCAGATTCAAAAAGCATCAACAACTCTTGTTGTCCGTGCCACGACTGGGGCTGCCTATCCCCCCAAGCTCCCTACGGAAAGGAGCCCCATCCCACACCCAAAGTCCATGTTCTTTTCCTTTTGATTGTNNTATCCTTATAACATCCCTACATGCCCTATCCTTATAACATCCCTACATGCCCTAGGTCCACATTCCCACCTCACTTTGGGCCGCACACTTTGCATCAGAAGCATCGGAGAAGCTGGCAGGATAGCCACACCCGCGGAGTCGGTTCCAGAGCTTCAGGCCCAGCTTCTCCACAACCCCTAGATGCTTGGTTCATATAGTAATAATGGAAAAGAAAACGGAAACTACTATATGATTTAGGGTTTAGGGTTAAGGGTTTAGGGTCAGGGGCACGTAGTAAGTAGGCTAATAATGGGGATAATTGGGGTTACTATATGGGCAATAGGAGTTATACGTCTACTTACGACGTCCCCTTGACCCGCGAAGTAGGGTATATTGGCCTATAGGGAGACAATATGGGGACATGTAGGCTTGTGTAGGGATCTTATAAGGACATATCGGTTTTTCACCACAATTTCACCTAAGTGTGCAGTTCAAGAAGAGTCTACCAAGCAGGCACACATTTTGGAAATGGCCTGAATTGATAGTGTGTGCAGGGTTTGAGAGACCAGTGTTTCCTAAACCCTAAACCCTACATAAGTTACATAACAGAATGCCCTAAGGGTCAATGTTGAGCCGAGAAGCCATCATGGGCAGCCTCAAGTGTGTCATCGGTACCTATGGCGCAGGGGGCACAGGGCTGCTTACGGATGCGGGCTACATGCAGACAACATTTCCTTATGTGGGTTATTCTATATTCAGGGGTGCCAAAATGGGATCCTAAATTTCGGGAACTCACCATGTAGTTAATGGACAGGGGTCCTTAAAGGACCCCTGTGTCCACCCTTCCTGTAATGGTCCCGAATATTGACAGTAGCTCATGCGGCTTTCCCCCGACTTCATGCCTCCCTCAAGCCTTGCTTTATTTGAGCCATAGTCTAAACTCCTAGCATACCCCTTAAGAGCCCCTATGATATTCCCCTATACAATCCCCTGTATCTTCAAGGAGTTTAGATCATAGCTCATTTAGATTCAACCTTGCTCTTTCGTCCACGTGGAACAATTCCGTGAAACATCTGTCTGAAAAGGAAAACACACATGACAACACGAAGCCCTTCCTCATTTAGCACCGGACAAAAAAAGCTGGATGATCACGCCACACGGAGGTGTCCCCACAGTCCAGCCTGGGAGATAGATGTGGATCATGCCTGGGTCGAGGGTGCAAGGGCACAGCAAGATTTAGGAACGTCCAGACAGTAAGGGCTTCTTTCGCGGACAAACGAAAAGGGAGTCCCAGTTCGTCGTAACGGGCCTGAATGTTCAGCTGCTCAGTTCTTGGATTTCCTGTTGTGTGGGACCCCACCTGCAATCTCCATAAATATCTTTCCTTGTGGCCCCAACATGGCCAAGATACAGGATTCGGGCTCTGCCGGCTCAAAGCGCAGGAGTGCGCCCAAGGTAGTGTCCGCCTTGAACGCCGCCACAAGTTCCTCACGTAGGGTTGCGGGCAGGCTTCTCGAAGTATTGCATGCGCGGTAGCTCTTGGGTGTTATGCTGATTATGAGGGTTTCGTCTGAGGATTGCATGAGTAAGGGTTGTTTTTCAGAAGCTATAGGGATCGTCTAGGATGAAATGGCATGGAATCGGGATTCCACAAGGGCTGCTATCGCTGAGATGATAACAGGACGTGACACTTATCATGCGCCTTGGAGGCATACATTTCTGTTTCACTCATACAAGTAGCCGCGTGCGACGAATGACAGAACCCGCCCCTTGGTTTGGGAAGCACATCTTGAAAGCTCCTGCAGCCGAGCGAAGCGCTCCGGGAAAGAGCCCTGATAGCTCCGGAACTGCTCCTTTGCTCAGGGTCGATGCTTCTGCCCTGAATTACCCCAATAATGGAGAATCAAATAGGAAAGAAAATGGAAAATGACATGGAACCTGGGATTATATAGGGGTTATATTGTATTATATTATATCATAGCTCTTCAATTAAGTGTTCTTTGGCCACTTCCATTCATCAACTTGGCAACAGGCTCGAGACATGAACATAGTGTATCAGGAAGCTAAAGCCTCCTCTGTGTTTTCCCTATCCACTGTCTGCACACGGGCATGAGCAAAATGAGTAGGTTGAACGGCTACGCTTGCAAAGTTGTCAACTCTTCGCTGGCTAAGCTGCCTGTGGTGAGTCCTTCCATCTTTCCAGCTTGGGCCCGCCGGCCGCAAAGTACTGCAAAAGCTTAGAAAGACCAACCCTAAACCCTAATATAGTACTTTCCATTTTCTTTTCCATTATCCCATATAACCCCTATATGGGTGGTTGTCAAAATTATGGTCCTTTTTTGGGTACCCTAAACATTAGGTGCCGTATTATAATAGGGATCCAAAAAGGGACCATAATTTTGACAACCACCCATATAATACTTTCCATCTTCTTTTCCATTATCCCCATGAAATCCCTATGTAACCCCTACATAAACCCAGAGGAGCTGAGGCGCTCTTGCATCCAGCCACTGAGGAGCTAGGCTGAACATTGAGGCGCCCAAACGTGCTCGCCAGTCCTTAGCCCACATTACCCTAGGGAGGAAAAAGGATCCTTTTTACATACATGTAAAGAATCCCATACCCCAAAAAGTATAAAGCGCGTCCTTGTCTCAGAGCTACCCCCAGCGGTATTGCGTCAGGTAACCCCTTCCAAAAAGTATAAAGGATCCCTAACATTGATCCAGAGTCTGTCGCCAACATCGTGAGAGCAGCCGGGGCTGTGAGCATGGCCCCTGAGAGGCCCCCAAAGCCTGGAGGGTGTAGGCTGGTCTTAAGATTATTGCGGTATATATTGGGTTGTATACAGGGATAACGGAAAAGAACATGGAAACTACTATAGTATATTGGGGCTAATATTAGGATAATGGAAAGGAAAATGGAAACTACTATAGTATATTGGGGTTATATGGTTATGTCAATAAGGTTCACCCAGCTACCTGGGCGCAGCCTGAATCATCTAGTCACTGACCACACAAACAGAAAGGCATTTGCTGGAACCAGTTGGCCCAGGGCGCCCTTGTACCAGGAGATGTACACGGAATCGAAGAGCGCACAGATTTCCTTGATATCCTTTCTATAGAAAGGCATGGCCTGAAAGATGATAAGGCTTCAGGGAGAACAGCAACTATAGCAAATAAATGTTTCTGAGACATTAAGGACACTGAGCGTTTATTGTCAGAAGGTGGATTCGCGGAAAATCTGGTCAAGTTTGAGCAACAGTGCAGAAGTCACTTGACTTGAGAAAACCCGCTTGATTGGCTTGTACTGGTTCTTCGAAACTGAGTTGAGTTGCCCGTGCCTCAAAGAGTCTGGCTCCATCCATGTGCAGGCGCGCGCCTGCCTCTGTGACCAGGCGACGAACTTCTATAAGGTCATCCCAGAAGCACGTACGCCCTCCATTCCTGGGTTAGGCGAAAGAATGTCAAAACAGACTTGGGATCCCCAGCATAACAGCTCGAAGCCTCGTGTAAGACCGAGGCTCATACGCTGCGGAATCTCGACAACAACCACATCGCCCGGGCCAAGTCGAGATTGAAGATCGCCGGGTCGTACGGCCCGTGCAAAGTCACCAACCACTTGCACGGAGAAGGCCGGAAGCCTATCTACCTGACGCAATCTTAACCAGTGCTACTCCGGAGCGCGAGGTCTCAGTCGGAGGTGAAGGGAAGATGTTAAGCTACTGGATCCACTGGATCCGAGGGAAGGGCTCACTTACCGTGAGGTGGGCAAGCACACCCAGACCTGGCACGGGTTACAAAATCAGTATTTCGCGAAATGTTCGCTTGTGACATATTCCTCACAACTCTGGCTCCAGGCTACCAAGGTTGACCTAGTATTCCAAGCCATGCACACCAAGCTCAATTCAATTCAGTGGTACATTTCCTGCTGTCCAAGCTTCCTCATATTATGTAGACAGGCTACATTTCCGCGCGCCAACTCTGCCTGGGCAGGCCCATCTCGAAGGCAGTCGTGATGGATCAGGTGGGAGGTTGGATGCAGAAACAGCCGCGCCGATGCTGACTCCTCGATTGCCAGATAAGAGCCTAGGTAGCTGGAATGGGACCGCGGTGGCCCAAGTAAACTAAGAAAAACCTGCAACTGCGAGCAGAGACGACATCAAGGGTGGCCGAAAAATCAGAACAAAAGCAAGAGCAAGTGGTAACTGGCTTGAGGCTCGGCTATCTAATGCAGCCTTTCTGTGGTTGTCACTTTCCGGCACACATCTAGAGTCTAGAACAAGACATTATCAGGGTTTGAATGATGAACGCCATGAGAAGAACTCAGCATGGTAAGCATATTCCGTGATGGTTATGACTCAGTTATGACCATTACTTGCATGACTGTCTGCTGACATGGCAGGGATCAGCATAAATCGCTGCCCTACTATGAAAGACACCACTCGTCACTCTTAGATCACCCTAACAATTTCTCTGTTATACTTCGATCTTGTGGAAAATTTGGGAATAAGCCTTAAACCCCAAACCCTCAACCCCTAAACCCCTAAACCCTAAGCCTTTGCTGCCAAGGCTCCATCTGCTGAAAATGAGCATGAAGAGTGGCCCGCTGCGCGAGGGTGCCCGTAGGGAAGAAAAGACCAGCCTCAGGGCTCGGGTTTAGGGTTGAAGAGTTTCAGGGTTTCAGAGTTCAGGGGCTTAAGGGTTTAGGGTTTCGGGTTCAGGGTTACCATGTTAGGTAACTGGGCTGCTGTTCAGGAACTTGAATTAAAGTACCGTGATATGGGTATGTAGTAGAGAATAGGGTTTTCTTACTAAAGCAACTTGATTTTAAGGTCCTGAACAGCATCCCAGGTAATCCCTTCATACCGATGTTGAAACCTCCCCCCACCGCTAATATTCAATAGGTGCCATAAGAATCCCTGGATAATGGGGACATGTTTGGTATTTACAGTAGCATGAAGGGATTAGTTGGGAATGTAAAAGAGTAAAAGAAATGGAAATTACTGCGCTACGCTCATTGGGAAGGTAAAGAAGCATGAGAAAAGTATTGTGTTTATCTTAGGTGGGAACGGAAACCATGCAAACCACCAATGTCAACGTTACCGTTGTGTTTACATAGTTGTGAATGGAGAAGAAAAAGGAAACTACCATATTGTTGAGGGTTGGTCTTTAGGCTTGCAGCTCGTAGTAATGATCACCGAGCCCAGCAAGGTGTAGATGGGAGCGGGTGGCAACGTAGCAACTCATATCGACAAGGAAGTGCATAAGTAAGAGAGATGATGACACTTTTGATGATAGGGGTCAATGCAAGGCTTACGGTTTTGGGCATGTTGAAATTGGGATGCTGCGCAGTGAGTAGCCCGCCTAGGAGACTTACACCAGCATCCAGCCTCTTTCCCGAGGAACTCAGCCACCTGCATCAGGTCTAAACTTAGAGAAGTAAGGTGTCTTTTTTCCGAGGTCCCTTCTACAGTATACCCCCCTCTGCCCCCATAGGACTCCATAACTTTGGGCGTAAACCACTAACAACACGTTGCCCAACAAGGAGCCTGTTGGCTTAAAGTCTCCCACCATGTAGACTTACGGGTGCTGAGTAGGGAATAAAGGAATATAATCCCTACAAAACCCCTATATAATATATATATATATATATTCCCTTATTCCGTCTAACCCCATGCAAGTAGATAGGTCCTCAATCCGGAACGCTAGATAGTAGTTTCCATGGCATGTTCCATTTGATGTTGAACTTGATTCAACATTTGTTTCTCCATTATTCTTATGTGTTATGTACTCTATGTATCCCTATATACCCATATATCCATATCTATCCCTGCAAGAAGGCTTAAAGACCAGAAGCCCTCAAGACGGCGAGGGTAGGAACCCGCAAGCCTCAGCCTCGAACTGTTGAAGCTTCTCGTTGTGGCCATACACGTCTACTTCGAGAGCTTCCTTGGCCGCAACCTGTCTTTCTTGGGAGCACATGGGATTTGGAGGCCGGCTTTTGGGTTTGGGGGGTTTGGGGGGTTTGAGGGGAGTCCTCAAAGAAGCTGTTACTCTCTGTTGTCTGATTTCAGGTTCCTGCTGGAAATTGAAATTGTCTCCATGTCACCTTCCTGCCGGAGCGGTGCAAACCGTGCTGAAGGTCAAAACAAAATCCACAGTGAGCTTGACTGCTCATGCTCGAACGGCTCGAACGCTGTGTGGCTCTGTGTGTGTCATCATTGGTGAACAAGAATGTTCCTATGGCCACATCTGAATGTTGTAAAACCTTGGTAGTTACCGGTGTCAACACATGATAGTGCATTCCGCGTACCACATGGTTCGTTCTCAAGATTAAGCACCTCCAGAGACCCCCCCGCCATAACAAACCAGTCCAACCGGGAGAGCATACTTGAGAAACCCTAATGGTATCATCCACTAGGGAAAACGTTGAAGATTCCCGTAGTGCCGCCAAAACCCTCAACTCGATGCCAAAAAATTGTCTCCCCAGGCTTTGCTTGGAAAGCAGGCCTCAAGCCTACCTGTCCTTGCGCATACCTTGCCTGCAATCCTCGACAAACATCACTTAAAGAAGATGGGAGATTCCAGAACAAGGGGACGCCCCCTTACATACCACCAAGTACCAATGAATAAAGGGGTCCGGAAAAAGGATTCCTGAATTTTTTCGCAAGACCCCAACAAGCCTCCGCCAAACGGTGCAGGCGCTGAGAGAGGCTCTCCGGGGCAAAGGGCGCGCTGAGATCATACCGTGCCATGAGGAACGCGGTTAGGAAGGTTCGGGGCTTGCTGATAGGGTTTAGGATTTCACATGCCATGCACTTTCTGCACATGGGGGCTGCCTGGGGGTGGATCAGCTTCACAACCACGAATACAACGACTCACCAGACAAAGAGCTGGGAGACACAGTTCGGATTTAGGGTTTGGAGTTTAGGGGTTTCGGGTTCAGGGTTAATGGGGTGCTCAAAGCCTGGCTTGGGATTGTAGGGACCTATCTGGTGGCGCTCAACAAGATGAAGGAACTGGCATCTTGGAAGTGAGCCTGAAAAAGTTGATCTGGAAGTATTTCTCATATACAAGCTTTAGGGCAACCCGTTGTGAGAAGTAAGTATTCACCTTGATATTGATATATCATCCCGGGGGGAAGGGTGGGGGTGGGCATCTGCATGTTTACAATGCATGGGATTGGGAGCTCACTATAGGGGGATGGGATGAGTGCATATGTGTACATTTATGGCAAATTCCCTGATGTCGCACAGGAGTAACTCCAATACTGCTAGCGAAGGACGTGTATCCCTGTAGTTGCAACCCTGATATCGAGAGCGAAATGTGATACTGACAGTGATGACAAATAGTAGTTTTCCTAAATAGGAGGACCCCAGATATGTCCTTATTATAGGGAACCCTAGAATGGTACCCCTAGTTTTGGGAACCCCAAGATAAGCAACGTTATATGGAAAATGAATGCTTCTCGGCCTGAGGCTTTCCGTTGCTCAAGGAGGAGTGGGGGAGTGGATCCCTGTAAGGGTCCCTGTAAATCCCCATACATAGGCATGTTATAGACAGTGATTGCATTCCCTACCCACCCCCGCTGCAGCACTGGTATAGGGCTAAGGCCCCCAATATTTTTCCCCTACATTCTCAAGCCTTCAAAGGGCCAACGTGAAATCTTGAGGGTGTTCTTGGCGGTTGAATCCTGTAAGATTTGCTGTTGTCAATAAAATGAAGTATTCCCATAGGACAGCATAATCTTCTGCTCTTTGGGGATGACAGTAGCCGTATTTGAAAGGTCTGAAAATGCTACCCTAGAAGCCTGAAACGCTAGAACCCTAGGACCCTAAACTCAAAAACCCTTAACCCTACGATTGGGTGGTTGTCATAACCCTTTTTTGGGTACCCTAAATATTAGGTGCCGTATTATATTAGGGACGCAAAAAGGGACCATAATTTTGACAACCACCCAATTGCAAGGCTGAGGACGCTGCCAGGAGGTCTGCTTTGTCGCAGGCGCGGCCATCGGGCAGGACAACAGACTCCTCACAATAAACGGGGTGGGGGTTCCCATAATTGTGGTACCATTTTGGGATCCCTACAATAAGGAGTATCGTATTTTGGGGTTTATGCTGGGGTCTCCCTAGCAGGGTTAGGGTTCTTACTCTCAATGAGTAATGTGTGAAGGATAGGATCAGAGGGACCACTGGGGAACTTGTAGGGGCTACGGTAGAAAGCGAATTCCTCCTTCTCCTACTAAGCACGAAGTAAGGTGGGGAAGAGGTTCAGTGTCACCAGTGACTTATCTCATAGCAGATTATAGCTGAAGGTAGTAGCGAAGCAGTCAGTCTGACAACTGCTGCTATCACCCCTGCTGGAGTTTTTAGTGTCAGGCTTTATAATGATTTCTCAATTCAATACATTGGAGGAATTTACTGCATGCAGATGCGCGCTTAGTTGTCTACCGCGAGGTGAGACTTGTCATCCATGGCCCTGTGCAAAACTGTGTTGCCCACGCACTTCCAAGGCCCGTGTGGCAAAGGAACACGCGTCTATGAACCGAAGCGATGCTGGAGGCACCTGTGGTCCCAGAGCTTGCGCCAGCATGACATAGGCCGCTGCGAAGTTCGGGTCAATCCTGGCGAGGGCTGGGCCATAGTGGCACTGTTTCCCTGGTGTATTAGGCTTATAGAGAGGCGCCTAGGGCGAGGGAGCGGCCCTGTGCGTTCCAACTTGACACCGCGCAGGCGCGAATCTTGAGGGTAACAGGCGGGGAAAACACAATCTCTTGCGGCTGAAGAAAAACATCTCTCCTCAACACAAGCCCCACGTGAACTCCAGCCCCTGACACAGACGCCTAGATGCACCCCTCCGAAATCCTCGCTCACGCGTGCTCATTGCATCTGGCTACTACTGTCACTGCAGCAGCAGCTGCTACTGGTGGTGGTGGCGGCGGCGGCAACAGCAACAGTTGTCGTGCTGCCCAGAAGCCCTGCGATCCCACAACTCCTAAAATCACTTCTGGTCGCTCTGCGGCTGCTTCGTGATTTCACTTCAGGTTCTCTTTCTGCTCCAAAAACTTCTGAGAAGCCTTAAACCGAAAAAAGGGGCCACAGCTTGAAGAAAAAATGCATCGGCCGACCTCATCGCTTCGATGAGCAGCTCTCGCCGACCCAACACTGCGCACAGGTTCTTTCGGTCTTGTTATTCATGATGTATATAGTTCGCCTTAAGTAGATCGAACATGGGGTACATGGGGATCTTGTTATAATATACGCAAAGCNNTCTACTTAAGGGAGACTATAGATGTGAAGGTGATTCAGCCCCTCCTCACGCTTCAAAGACTCTACGGGGGCTTTCATGAGGGGTGAGAACAAAGATCGGATCAGGGAATTGAGAAGCTCCCCCCAAGCCTGAAACCAAGCCCTCGCTGCTGTGAGGGTTCACTAGGTCATATAATTCAAGCTAGGCTTGAAATTGGGCTTGTGATCCGGCTTGGTCGAGATGGATTGCCAGTAGTCCGACACATCATGTGTAGGTTTTCTTCGATATGGGCTTGCTTGCGTGCCATGTTGCACATGCCCGAATTTCTAGGTATATGTGGCTGCAACTGAGCTTGCGTCAACTGCTCACAAAGTCAAAGCCAGAGCCCCTGAAGAAAGCGAACAAACACTGGGAACCCCTAGCAGCCCAGCCCTCATCTCTCAGGCTATGTCATTGTTATCATTCTTGCTATAGTTATTATTATGATGACTATTAGTGTTATCAGAGTTGTTGTTGTTGTTGTTGTTGTTGTTGTCGTTGTCGTTGTCGTTGTCGTTGTCGTTGTCGTTGTCGTTGTCATTGTCGTTGTTGTTGTTGTTGTTGTCGTTGTTGTTGTTGTTGTTGTTG